GCAGAGATGCCTGCTTGGTGATCAGAAAGAATCTCGGGGCTCTCTCATCACTCTCTCGCTGACACCATCCATCCTTCAGGGACCCCTGGACTGGCTGGAGCTGGACTCCTGCAAACTATGTAATCGGGAAATTTCTGAAATCTTAGCTTCAACTTCAAGCTATTTAATTCAAAATCAGACATGTGTTTATAGCATATTCATTTTAAAACTCATAGTGTAAATAATTTTCTTCTGTATTCAGCTATATCTTGACATCTCATTGTATGTTTGTGGAATATATTTTTGAATTCACCAAAATACCATAATTTTGGTACCTGCCTCAGATCCCATCTGCCTTATTGGTATCTCTGGGAAGAATGAAAAGCACCACACTATCCAAAATAGATCCAATTGATATGACAGCAAGTTCTTTGCTTCTCACTTCTTTCCCTTCATCAACTTGAATCTTGCCTCATGTTAATAACTTATCAGTGTTATCAGTGTTGTTCTGGGAATTCTAAGGTTGGAACATAAAAGCCCTGCACCCTTTACCTGGATCTCTTGTATGGTCTCTTTAGAAGCTCTAATCTGTCATGTAGGGGGTTTTTGAAAGACCACATGTAGGTTCCTCACTTGGCAGTGTTGCTTGAGTTTAATCTTTCAGCTATACTGCCAAAGGCAATGGACACTTGAGTGAAGACACTTTAGACTCTTTATTCCAGATGTTTGCAGCTGAATACCATCTCAGTGGCTGCCATTGATGCTTCATGGAGCAACTCAGCCCTGTTTGAGTTCCTGACCCATGAACTTTAAAATGCAGTGAAGTGTTACTTCTTTTAAGACACCAAGTTTTGGGATAGTTTGTTTTGCAGAAATTGGTCATTGAAGTAACTGTAGATACTGAGTAGCTTTTTGATGGTAAATTCATGTGAGAATTAAAAAGAACTTGCTATCCACTCTTTCTAGTCTATAACTGGAAGAATCTTTTTGAGATTAAGGCTTGCCTTACGCTGGTCTAGGTGAAGGAAAAAGAAGACAGAAGCTAAGTCCCATGAACTCAAGACCTTTGATTCAAAGATCTTCCCAATAGAGAATGAGAACCAAAGTCTGTTACCATCCAAACATCTTCCATGGAAGGAGGAAGAAGTGGATGAGCACAGAGAGGGGTGCATGGAAACCCCACTTCATGCTGCCAGAGGTGCAGGGAAAACACATCCTTTCACTGCAACTTAGAAGTCCTAGGATACCTTTTTAAATTTAAATTTACTTTTCATCTTTTTAGTGTTTATTTATTTATTCTGTGAAAGACAGGAAGCACAGGTGGTGGGGAAAGAGAGAATCTCCAGCAGTCTCCAAATGGTTAGCACAGAGTCTGATGTGAGGCTCAAACTCACAAACTGTGAATTAGCTGAAGTAAGACGCTTAACCAGCTGAGCCACCCAGGCACCCCTACATTTTTAAAAATGAAATAGGGGCACCTGGGTGGCTCAGTCGGTTAAGTGTCCGACTTCGGCTCAGGTCATGATCTCACGATTCGTGGGTTCAAGCCCCGCGTCAGGCTCTGTGATGACAGCTAGCTCAGAGCTTGGAGCCTGTTTCAGATTCTGTCTCCCTCTCTCTCTGACCCTCCCCTGTTCACGCTGTCTCTGTCTCTGTCTCTCTCTCTCTCAGAAATAAATAAAAACATTAAAAATTAAAAAAAAATGAAAATGAAATATAGTTGATGCACATTGCCACATAACTTTTAGGTGTACACCATAATGAGTTGATATCTCTATTAGTTATGCTTGTTCACCAAAAGTGTAGCTACCATCTGTCACCATACAATGCTACTACTACACCACTGACCATATTCCTTACAGTGAAGTTTCTATTAGGCCAAGGATAGTCTTTACCAGAGAGACACATTTCTTCTTTGCACAACAAGTTTGCTTTAGGTCATCTAATTATAAATAATTTGCTTGAATTCTATTGTCTGCTTCCACCCACTAACCTCTGAGGGTACTGAGGGCAGGAAACATTTCCACTGCCAGCACCGCCCTTAATATGGAGGTGATAAGGTTAATAGTCAGATGCTAGTTTATGAAATGAAGGGAAGTGTGGTGGTTTCAAACGAGGTTCCACCCCACCTTGGTGAAGATAAGAAACATTTCTGCTCCACAAGCAGAACACCTATCTTGCAACCAGACAGCCTGAATTTCTTAGTCTCCAATTGATGATACTAGAAACACAGTGTCAACATTTGCTTTTATGGGCTTCTTGAGTCATTTGAATTCATTCTCAGATAGAACACTCTTTTTCTTATCACTGAATTCATGGGACTTTTATTTTATGTTTACTTTTGAAAATGACTCTCAATATGAGGTGGTGTGATATCTTTTGGGTAGTCAACATTTTGATCCTCTCAAGTTGAGAGATTGCAAAAGGCAGAAATTGTCTTTTATAGTCTATGAACACAAAATATCTCTCTGCTCAAATCCAGTGAGAAGAGTCACTGTTCAGAAAGTCTGCAGTCCCATGCAGCAAGGAGGAAGCCCTGGGACATAAGCCCTGACCTGTGGCCTCAATACTCAGAGTACACCCAGGGTACCAAGGAGCCACTCTGGCTCTGTTACACACTGGAGTCCAACCTGTGTTATGTGATGATAGTGTAGGAATGATAGTAGAGAATCTGTGGGTGGGAAATTGAAGTCCAGCCAAGCACCACTTGGGCCCATGCACCCAGATAAGGCATTCCCAGGCTGGCCATGGTGGTAGCAGGAAGACAAGGAGTGTTTTCAAGGCTTCAGTGGCAAAGGAATCTAGAGTTAGTTCTTTGGGGTCCAAAGTTCTCAAACTTGACTAAAAGTACACTTCAGATCAAACAGAGACAACCTGAGGTACTGAATTGAAATAAAAACCTACTGGGAATCAGACTATATTCTGGAAACTGCTCTTAGTTTCAGGAGGTTGGTTTGCTAAGATTGCCATAACAAAATACCATGGACTGGGGTGGGGGGGTAGTTTAAATTAGCTTAAATAACAGAAACTTATTTTCTCACTCTTCTGGAGGCTGGAAGTCTAAGATCAAGGTGCCAGTAAGTTTTCCTTCTCCTGAAGCCTCCTTCCCTGGCTTGCAAATGGTCACCTTCTTGCTGTGTCCTCACATGGACTTTCTTTGTGTGTGTGCATCCCTTGTGTCTCTTCCCCTTCTTCTAAAGATACCAGTCTTATTGGATCAGGCCTAATTTAACCTTCATTGTCTCCTTTAAAAACCTCCCACAAATGCTGTCATGATGGGGGTTAGGGCTTCAAGATAGGAACTTGGGGGGTATATCATTCAGCCCAGAACAAACCTTAATTATTTAAAAAAAAAATTAGTAGGAGTAGTCCTTGTGTAATGTTAGAATTGGACTAGACAATGATGTGGATGTGTCTGAGAACTCCAGTACCTCTGCTGAGGTCCATTCAGACACACCCAGAAGTTGAGCCAGTATCTCCTGGAAAGCTTAAAGGACATGACTGAGAAAGCTACTTCAGATGTAAATATGTTTTGACACCAGTAACTTCCTCAAGGCAGAGGCACCAAGTTACAAGTATACTCTACATTTGAGATGTAAGAGTAGGCAGATCTTTCTCAACTGTCCAAAAGTAATAGAAATACAAAAAAATCTGAATTATGGGAGTTTTGAGGCTGTTTCATAAACAATGCATTCTCTTCTTTTGGTGCAACGTGTAAAATCCCAGCAATTCTACTCCTGGCTCTGAAGAAAGTTGACACAGGTGTACTAGAAGCATGCATAAAATGCTTATAGCAGAATTGTGTTGAAGATTAAAAAAAAAATAAAAGTATAAAGAACCCCAAACCCAAATATCCATTTTGATGGAATGGATAGGTAATATGTTCTATCTTCACAAAGTGGAAAACACATGTGATATAAGCAATTGTAAATGAAAAACAGCTTGCAAAAGACAGCACACAAAATAATTCTATTTTTCCAAAGCAAACAACCAAAACTAAATGATATATTTTCCGAGGAAACACAAATCTATGGTAAAAAACAAAGAAAGCAGAAAAATGTTAAACACAAAATTGAAAGAGCTGTACTTCTGAGAAGAGATGTGGAGAGACAAGTTATGGGGAAGAAGCATGTGAGAATATTGAACGATATACAAAACATCCTAGTTCCTAATTTGGGAGTTCACAAGTATTTATATTTATATCTTGCTTTATATTATGTGTATGTATGCATGTAATATAATATATATCTTACTGTAGCTAGCTGCTGAAGACATATTACACTCAGAAAAAGTAAAAAGGAAAATGTCAAAGTGTGGGGAATAAGCTTAGGAATTCTCTGAGCTTGCACCCATGGGTCAACAAGGCATATATGAATAGGAAGCCTCAGATGAAAACATCCAAGGTTAGGTAATCAAGATTAGATATTCAGGATCGAAGCACCCTCCAATTTAGTACAATAGCAGAAAGCTTCTTTCACAGGAAGGAAGGATCAGTATAAGTAAACAGGTAAACAGGTAAACCAGCAGGGTGAAGTTGACTGGAACAGAGCTTATCAGCAAAAGAAAGGTGCCTTGTTGGCCCTGAAGTAGCATGCTCTATTTGTCTTATCCCCCAGGCTAATTAAGATAAACAGATGAGTTGCCTCTTGCCTGCCATAAACAACCCTCTGTCCGGCACCAGTACATTGTTTTTCATTGACCCAAATCCCTAACACTGCATATCTTCAAATCTCCCTTTCCCTCACACCCATGAGTTAATGTTCATGGTTTAATTGTCTCTTTGTGCACATCCATCATGCTTGTAAGACTTCTGATCTTAATAAAAACAGAGCAAGGACCCTTACTCAGAGCTCTTGTCTCCTCCCAGATATTAGCTTTTCTCACATTTTAATCCTGGTCCCCTCTCTTCCTGGACAAGAGAGAACTCCAGACCCAGAGTCTATGACACCAAAGCTGAAGAACAATATCAGCAACCATTTTCTTTTTCAATAGACTATATTTCAGACCAATTTTAACATCACAGCAAAATTGAGCAGAAGGTACAAGGAGTCCCCATTTGCCCCCTGCCTTCACACAAGTACAGCCTCCTATCCACAACTCACACCATCATAAAATTCATGAACCCAAACTGACCCATCCTTATCCCTCAAAGTTTGTAGTTTGCATTAAGTTTCCTCTTGATGTTGTATATTCTATGGTTTTGACAAATGTGTAATTTAATCCAACATTGATTCACCATTATAGTATCAGACAGAGTGGTTTCACTGTCCTAAAAGGCATCTGTTCTCCACATATTCATCCCAACCTCCCATCCCAACCCTTGGGAACCAATGATCTTTTCCTCATCTTTACAGTTTTGCCTTTCTGGAATGTGACATATTTTGAATCATGCAGTATACAGCTTTTCCAGATTTAGTTTCTCTCACTTGCATAAGAATTTCAGTTTCCTGTAGGTATTTTCATGCCAGCCTTCACATAAGAACCTTCTGAAACTGAATGGTTAGTGGAAGTTCTCCAGGTGATTAGTTCCTGGTGACACTTCTGAACCTCAGGGAAGGAGAATACCTACAATTTTCCATGGAGACAAACAGGTTACCATGCAAAATAAGAACTGAATTGGCTTTGGGCTTTTTACTGGAAGCATGGGATGCTTGAAGGAGATATATCTTCAGAGTTCTAAGGGAAAATTGTATTATATCCAGAATCCTATGATCAGTTAAACTATTTATTAAAAGTGATAAAAAAAATAAAGGCATTAATAGAAAATGCAAAGACTCAGAAAGTTTACCACCCAGAGAGTTTTTTTTCCCCCCAATTTGTTTGAGAATGGACTCAATGTAAATGTACAGGGAATCCAAGAAGCACCAGCACCACCAAGATATTGGGAGGATATAAATGAAGCCTGTGCTCCAGGCTGGAAGAGCAACTAGTCTAAGAGAGAATAGGAACTAGAGGTGTTACATTAGAACATCTTTAGAAAGAAGGGATCTTACAGATTAATATCATGGTTATTAAGCAGAATTATCTGAGGCATAAGGGAATGGCATAGCATATTATTATGATAAAATTACACTCTGCCTCTTCTTCATCATGTTATTACTTTTCTCCAGATTTCCTTTAATTATCTTCTCCCTTAAGCTACACAGATTTGGTGACATAGGTTTATTTGTCCTTCTGTGTAAGTCCAGTCACTTTACTTGAGTCTGGGTGAACATCATTATCATGATCATAATCACCAAGATCAGAAGCATAAACTGAAACCATAACTACATTATAAAGTTTTAAACTGTTTAGTGCTTGCCAGGTTTAATCAAATCTTTAGAATAATCAAAGATGTATTTTGAATTATAAAACAGGATATACAAGCCATCAGTGTTGGAAATATAGGTTTCAGGTGTGGCAGACTTGTTGAGAAGTAGAGAGAAGAAATTCTGTAAAGAAAATAGGATTGCAGGTTAACACCTGTAAGAGTGAGAAGGCAGGATATATTGCCAGGATTGTTCAGAAAATACAATGTGTATTATATTACTTAAAAGTCAAAGGAAAATCAAAGAAGATCTAAAACCAAATATGACTGGCAGAAATTTTGAGTGTGGACACTCAAAATAAGCTAAATTCTTGGTCCTTAATTAGTAACTGAATCATATTAAGATAGATAAAGGCAGAGCTACAAATAGTTAAAAGTGGTTACCCATGTGTAATAGGGCTTAGACAGGTGTGAGAGGATTTTACATTGAATTTTATAGTCTCTTGTTTTGTGGTAGTTCACCACTGAATACTTTTGTTATTCTGATTTTTTAAAATTAACTAAATTGGTTCAACATGTATTATATTCCCACTTATGCAAGGAATTAGAAATGTGAATTCCTGAGCTCTACAAAGATACATTAGAGTTAGTCTCCAACTTCCACACACCCTGCTAGTTTTGGAAGGCAGGTGTGAACTGCAGAGCTCATGATTCCCTCTGGAATCCAGGGGCCATGGTACAGACATCAAAGTCTGGTTGGGATCTCTGAACAGGCTCTCAGAGAACCATAGCCCCCTCTTCCTCAGGGGAGTGTTCACATTCTACTGTCATTTAATCTCCTTCTCACTAGTGAACATCACTCTGTTTTCCTCCTTCATTATTTTCCTGCTTTTCCCCCTTTAAAGATAGAGCCCTAAACAGGATAACTCCATGTGTCTTGAGGCTGGATGAAATGACCTGTGAGAGTTGGCAGAGGCTGGTCCTTAATTAGAAAGCAGGGAAAGACATTTCCAGAGGCCAAGGAGAGAAGAACTGTGTTTGGGGAGGACTCAGCTCCTTCATGCTGTGCCCATGCAGGATTGACTGTCACAAAGAGAAGCCACTGACAACTGCCAGTTCTGTAAGGAACTTCTTAATGGTATTATCAGTTACCTGTTGCTGTGTAACAAATTACCCTGAGACTTTGTGGCTTAAAACAAATGTTTATTGTCTTATAGTTTCTCAGGCTCAGAAATCCAGGAGTGATTTTAATTATATGTTTCTGGATAAGAGTCTCTCCTGAGGTAGTAGTTAAACTATCAGCTGGGCTGCATCTTCTGAAACCTTGCCTGGGGCTGGAGGATTCGCTCCCAAGATGATGTGCTTATCTGGTTTGCAGTTAATGCAGCCTGCCTCAGTTCTCCTCCACATAACCTCTAATCCTTCAGTTCCTCTCCAGCAGGTTAGTTCAAACTTCCTATAGTTACTAGACAGAGAGAGACAGAGACACAGAAAGAGAGACAGAGAGATAATGAAAGACTACACAAGGAAGAATGAGAGAGAGTCAGTGAACAGAGAGTCCTTATAAGACAAAAACTGCAGGCTTTTCATAACAAAATTTTGGAATTTTTGGACATTTCATTCTTGCTGCATATTTTATTAGTTACTCCAGGGAAAGGGTTTAAATAGCCATAAAAATAGGAGATAATATTGGAGACCATCATAAAGTGCCTACAGTGATCTAGGGGCAGGTGAAAGGTGTGTGATTCTGCAGAGTGTGAAGTGATAAATGAAAGAACAGGGGACACAAAGAGGCATCAGAGAAATGATGTTAACATTAACTGACAAGAATATGACAGAACAAGATTGTGTGTCACACTGAGCAAATATTTTCTTCCACCCTCAAATACAAACTAATGTACGAAATACAAGAAGTTGAACATATACTGGTGTTTCTTGACATGGGTTCAAAATGAGTGAGTCAATTTATTTACCTCAAGGAATTTAATACCAACGAAAGTGGAAGTATTGACCTCAACTGAAAATTCAGAAAGGGTACAGTATGAGGAGAAGACCCCAGATGTCCTGACTTTCCACTAGAAGGAGCCTGATGAGAAGTCACCTCTTCAGATGATGGAGTCTGTCAGGATTTTCTTCAGTATGGCCCTGGTATCCTCAACAACTATTTCAAGGAGGCGTCTGTGTTTCCACTTTCTCAGGCAGTTGATAATAGCGTTACCTAACAGTGGGATGTATCTCAGAATTGAATATAAGTAAGAGGTTGTATTACAGTTCATGCAAGATAATGCCCAGTCCCCTCTGAGGACAGTCTGCAGATCCCTAGATTTCATAATGGCTCTGTATTCCTCCATGGGTTTCCCCATGCACTGAGCCACCTGCTGGAGAGATACATAATCCACACCAAAGAGCAAGTGGTAGGCATTCAGACACTCTTCCAGATCATCTGCATTCCAGATGCCAAGGGAGTCCTGGAAAGACTTGGAGGCTATTTTCCCTTGCAAAATGGTCACTTTTTCATTAATGACCTTTTTATAAGCGTGGGACAGATTCTCTAGAGGACCACAGTACCTGATGTCAGAGACGTCCTTGTCCAAGACTTTCCTAAGCTCTGGGAAGTCATGCAATGAGGGCTCAAAGCTGGAGACCAGGAATATGATGGGTTTATACACCTTCTCCTTCTGGAGAGTTTCACGGATATTCTCTCGGATATTCTGCAGGAGTCGTTCCTCTGAGAGGGCAGTTGTGCTGAGGTCCCTGTCCAACTTGGTCCAAACAATGTAGAACCTCTTTCCTAGGCCCTGAATGGCTTTAGCAAGTTTCACTAGATTCATGCTGAACTGTTCAGATGCAATAATGATGAAGAAGTCATACTGGCTAAACTGCATCTCCTCTATATAGTTCTCCAGGCTTTGGGTGTCAACTCCTGTGCCAGGCAGGTCCCACAGCACCATGTTGGGAAAGAGGGAGGAAGAGTAGGAAGTGGGAATCTGGGTGGTCCTCACTACCCCAGTGGGGGCTGATGCTTCATCCTCATGCCCAATTCCCCGTAGTGCATTGATGAAGGAGGACATACCATTGCCGGAGTCTCCAGTCACAGCAATGTTCACTGGGGCACTGGACGCTGTCTCCAGGGTGCTCCTGACCACAGAGACCACCTCCAGCAATTTCCCTTCTATCACAGCCTTTTCTATGTTTACAGCAGTCTCCTGAGGTAAGAAGCTCCTGCCCATATTGTATTGCACTGCAGAGGTGATGGATGTAGGTAATGGGGTGTAAAGGGATGAGGTGGGCTGGGTCATGTCACTGAGAAGTGGAGTGACCTGCAGAAATAGGAAGAGCAGGGGAGTTAGGAGGGCTGGGTGCAGAGGGCAGGAGAAGAATCATCAGTTTTGGTACCCCAAACTGAGGGTGTCAGATCCACATCCATCTCACTGCAAAGGCATTTAGATTAAAAATAACAAGATTCTACAAAAATGTTTGAAAGTTTGTCAAAAATTTAAAACTATTTGTCAATGAAGAATGAAGAAATGAAGAAATCCTGCTGTTTGTGACAACATGGATGGACCTTGAAAGCCTCGTTCTAGTAAAATAAACCAGACAGAGTCAAATGTTGTATGTTCTAACTCATGTGTGAAATCTAAAAGTAAAATAAATTCATAGAAAAGAGAACAGACTTGTGGAGAGGCAGAGGTTGAAAAAAGCGGCAGTTGGAGGAAGTGGTCAAAAGTTACAAGATTTCAGTTATAAGATAAAAAGGATGTATTGTACAACCTGATGACTAGATAACACTGCTGTATGGTTTATAGGAAAGTTGTTAATGAATCAGTCATAAGAGTTCCCATCATAAAATATTCTTTCTCTTTTCTAAATGTTTATTTATCTTGAGAGAGGGAGAGAGAGAGAGAGAGAGAGCAGTGGGGGTGGAGGTGTAGAGAGAGAGGGAGAGAAAGAATTCCAAGCATTCTCCATGTGATCAGTGCAGACCCCCATGCAGGACTCTATCTCATGAACCATGAGATCATGACCTGAGTTGAAGTCAAGTGTAGGATGCCTAACCAACTGAGTCACCCAGGCAACCCCTTTATTTCTTTGCTTTTTTATTGTATTTAAATGAGATGATATATGTTTAGTGAACCTATTGTGATAATCAATTCACAATTTTTGTAAGTCAGCTCATCATGTTATATTCCTTAAACTCATAAAGTGATGTATGTCAATTATTTTTCAATAAAAATAATAATAAAATTAAAACAGAGTTACCAAATGACCCAACAATTCCACTGCCAGGTATATACCCAAGTGCAGTGACAACATACATTTATTTAAAACCTGCATGCAGGGGCACCTGGGTGGCTCAGTTGGTTAAGTTTCCCACTTTGGCTCAGGTCATGATCTTGTGGTTCATGAGTTCCAGCCCCACATCAGGCTCTGGGCTGACAAATAAGAGCCTGCATCCTGCTTCAAGTCCTGTGTCTCCCTCTCTCCCTGTCCCTCTCCTGCTCATTCTCTCTCTCTCTCTCTCTCTCTCTCTCTCTCTCTCTCAAAAATAAATAAACATTAAAAATAATTTAAAAAAATAAAAAAAACTTGCATGCAAATGTTCATAGCAGTATTATTTATAATACTCCTCAGGTGGAATTAACACAGTTGTCCACCAACTGATCAATGGATAAACAAAAGTGATCTATCCATTCAAGAGAACAGTATTGGGCAAGAAAAAGAAATATAGTGCTGATATCTGCTACAACATGGATGAACCTCAAAACTTTATGATCAGTGAAAGGAGACAGTCCATTGTACCATGTATTTTATGATTCTATTCATATGAAACGTCCAGAACAGGCAAATCCATAGGCACAGAAAACATGTTGGGGGTTTCCTAGATGTGTAGAGCAAACAGTATGAGGGAAAAGAGGTGGCAGTCAAGAGGTACAGGCTATCTTTTGGATAATAAAATGTTCTAAATTTGATAATGATGGCTGTACAACCCTGTGAATATATTAAAAGCTACAGAAAACTTTAAAGAGGTGAAAATGTAGAAGGTATAATTTATATCCCAATAAAGCTATTGAAAATAAAAGCAGCAGAGGTGCTCATGCAGGAGATGTGCACATTTTAGGGACTCCAAGGAGACTGTTGAGGAAAGCTTTGCACCTTGATGTCAGTAGTCAGCACTGCTGACTTGAGATTACACATGTGAGTGCACTTGAGCCACAGAGCAGCGTAAGGTTTGCCTAGTCAGGAGGCAAATAGGTACAGGTACACCTTCTCCCAGACCGGGACAACAGGATAGCCCACGAGGGATATCTGCAGGGAAGAAGCAAGCTCATGCAAACTCTCCATATCCTTCAATCCTGAGGACCCACATATCCTGAATCCATATGTCTTCAGAGTTAAGAACAATTTAATTATTTTTAACAACACTGAAAAGTGCATTGTCTTTCCCCATTTTCCATGTCTTTCACCAATAACTGCATACCTAAGGAATCCTTGTCCCTCATCCAATTCAAAATCAAGTTAAAGAACCTTCCAAATAATATCCTCCTAGTTTTTAAAGTCAGCACTTAAGTTTTACATGATTGTTTATCTTTGTCACTGTTGTGATGATTATTATAAATATTTATGTTTTGCTGTGAGCTTTCTCTTGTAAGCTGAGGCCTGTGGTAAGATTGCAAGCATTTTATAAAGCAATACTGGGAAAAAGAATGGTTGGGATTACCTAATGGACTGTCCTCCCAGGTGCTACACACACAGTGCTGGCTAGTGGGCTTTCCCAATCCACAAGTTATGACTGGTTACTGTGGTAATTTCCCCTTAAGATATATACTATCTCTGCATGTATAGATGCAAATTTTAAAACATTTTTAAATGAAGACTGCCTCTTTGGCTGAGGAGTTTCCCTGTGAGCCCTAGGGGCCGTCTATTCCATGAGGGCTTCCCTTCCAGACCCGTCTACGGAGTCTCTGAAGTCTGCTAGACTTAGGACCTAAGTACTTAGGTTTCTGCCTCAGAAGGACTGCAGCCCTGACACACTTCATGTGACTGCAAGTCATGTGGTGCAGCTTCTTACTCTCCACAGGCAAGTCCAACTTGCAACACTGCCCCTCAGAATTATCTGTGCTTTCATCCTCCATAAGGTCTGGAGACAACCTCCCAATGAGAAATTGCCAAGAGACCTGAGTTTGGGACAAACTGGGCCCAGGGTAATCTGAATGTTTTTCATGTTGAAAACCAAGCCCCAGTATTCTGTCTTGTACAGCAGGGAAGTCATGCTACCCACCTCAGAGGACGCCAGTGAGGATTTCATGCTAAGATCCAGGCGAAGCTCTGGGCAGGCCCCACAGCAACCTCTTGGTGAATCCTCTCTGGTCTTATTAGGATCTCTGAGGAAGAGATTCCTCTGGTTCTTCTTACTCCCTCCAACTCTTACCACAGTGTATGAAGATTCTGATCTGTGAGTCTGTCTGGGCTGGGTCTTTTGCATGCCTTCTCTTGAGTAATCTTCTCCAAACCCTATTAGACAAGAAGTATTAGTATTCCTGGTTACAGGTGAAGAAATGGTGTCTCACAGATGAGAAACAAACCTCAAATTGCACAGCAATGATTGAGGATTCAATATTTAAACCACAGTGTGATTCTCTGTTCCTGCCAGACAGAAATGGAAGACAATCCTAGTTAATGCTAAATCTCCAGCTCCAGGACCTGAAAGATGCTGGATGCTGAGATGCTTTCCCTGGGGATGTGTGTTCTCTTATTGCTATCAAATGCCATTTATTTTTCCCTGCATGCATCTTTCCTAATTTGGGGAGATATAGGAAATCACAGTCCTCTCTCACCTCCTATCCTCACTACAAGTTAATGAAGACCTACTGATTTGAAAATATGAGGAAAAAACCCATATTGCCCCCACTTCTCAGAAAATGTTGCAGGGAAACTGACCTCCATTAGGAGATAGAGATACCTAACGAAATGATCAGGAGATACTGGAACTTCAGAGGGAGGAAAGCTGATGGATTATGATGTGATCACCATCCCATCTGCTTAGGAACAAGAATTTCCTGCAGCCTGGGCCCACAGAATATTTAGTGTCCTTCACCACAGGCCCCTGTGCCAAACTTGAGGTACAATAGGTCAGTAAGGATGGTGTCTTTGTTTGCAGGGAGTAGAGATGCACTAAGACAGAGTGAATAACTTGGTGGTGGGGCAGAGCACGCATAGGCAAAGCTGGCTAGAAACTAGAAAGATGGAGCCCTGGTCTGGATCTGACTGAAAGAACATTCTACAATGAGAATACCTAAGAGTAGACTTCCCTTGTCCTTGTACTCAAAGCCTTCTTTAAGAACTCTCTTGACTATTCTCTAAAATAGTCTTGGTTCTTGTTTATGGGAAACAGAGGTTCCTGGAGGTCTCAACCACCATTCTGGCTTGAGAGAGACAATCTGGGTGAGTTCCAGGCTCACTGACTTTGTTGTACAATGCCGTTTCCTTTGCTCCTAAGCACACTATGCATTTTGATTGCCTACAAGTTTGCCCCTATTATGGGATGGGGAAGCTCAGATGTCCTTATCAGCAGTCCTGTAGGGCCCAATCCAGCTAGAATACAGGAACTAGGCTAAAGCCCTTGCATCTTTTTCCTGGTTTGTCTAAATCCCATCACAACCTCCATATGTATCCATCTCACCTTGTCCTCTCTGACTTCTCTGTTAGATCAATTGTAAAAAAGACCAAGTCTTCAAAAGTTTAACGTCCCAGAATGTATTGTTTTATCCCTTGTTAGATGGCTGGTATCATAAAAATACACTTGTGGGGGTGAGGTGCCTGAGTGGCTCAGTCAGATAAGCATCTGATTCGACTTCAGCTCAGGTCATGATCGCACAGTTTGTTAGTTTAAACCCTGCATTAGGCTCTGTGCTGACAGCTCAGAGCCTGGAATCTGCTTTGGATTGTCTTCCTCTGTCTCTGCCACTTTCCTGGTTGCACTCTGTCTCTCTCTCTCAAAAATAAACATTTAAAATTTCTAAAAAATACACATGTGGGTCTTGGTACTTACAATAAATAATTCCCTAGACTCTTTGCCTGGTGCCCTGTGTGTCCAGCAGTATTGTACAATTTCTTTTAAATGAATAAAGTACAATATGCCATTGTGCTTCACTTAGTGGTTGACAGATAATGTTCTTTCCTAAATGTGTCATCTGAAATGCTGAAGCCAGCTCCTCCACACCCCTTTGGAAAGAAAGTAGGGGCTGGGGAGGTGTATGAACTCCTGCTCCAGGGTGGGTGTGGGAGGTGAACACAAACCTACACTTTTCCAGACCATTTATGTGACCATGTCTGACCCAACTATAGATTTTGCACATGTCTGCTCACCTAAGCAACTGTGTTGACCTGCTGGAGTCAGGGGAGACTGAGGCTCCATGGCACCAGCCACAGCTTCCTGTCACCTACTACCTGCCCATCTTGCCCCTGCCCTGCACCTGGTGCTAGACAACCCCTGTACATTGGACCTTCTCAGGGAACTTAAAGCAGTATTGTGTTCATGTCACTCCCAGGCCAGAGCAGGACAGGGTAACTCTCTGAGAGGTTGCAGGGTCTTCCAGGAGTGATCAGTGTGCAAGTGTTTGTGTGTGTAAACCTGCAGGACATTGAGGCTCAGAGCACTCTCAGATATAGAGGAAAGGCCATCAGTGATCAGCCTGGGATGCAAGTGACCCCCACATGCTCGCTTCTTACAGATCATACTCATATTGAGGACCCCTGAGCAAAGAAACATAAGCCTTTATTGAGGGAGCCTGAAGAGGCAATTCAGCTAGAGAAGGGAGTTGTATTTGAAAAGAGAACTAGACCCTGTGAGCAGATCTTTCAAACTCTTCTAAATGAGAGCAGCAGTAAGAAATACATTTCACATAGGAACTAAGTAAAAACTCAAACACATACACAAGCATACACATGCATACACATGAAGAAAAAGTTTACCAACAGTTGGCCTACCCTCATTTTAATCTACTTTATAATATTGCTGTAGGTAATTTTTTGAACCCTTGTTGTAATGCACCAAATAGATTTCATGATCTAAGAAGCAGAAAGAAAAACACTAATTAGTGCATTTCCTATGCAGAATCCTATATGGTTGATGCCATGCCCAGTTAACTTGGGCCATGAAGCAGAGATCAGCCTTGGATCCAACTAAAAATCTGAGGCATGAAGGACTTTTGTGAGTTTGTATCCAATGTGGACTAGCCCCTCATTTCCCCCATTTTATCTTAAAAGGAAAAGGGTGAGGAAAAATCAACATACTAATTTTTTTCTGGGAAAGTATAATAAATATCTGCATCATCAACAGGCATGAAGTTCAAAAAGAACCAGTCTGAGGAAATAGTTTTGAAAAGACCACCTCACTTACATCATCTGTAAAGAATGGATTTGGCGCATGGCAATAGGGACAGTTTCTCCAATGTAGATAGTTATACATTGTCTAAGATCTGTTAGACTCGTTGTCCATGGAACCCCAACCAAAGTCCCTATTCCAGAGAAGGTCCAGCCAGTGTTCTAGATTGACTCTCACAATTCCAGGCTACCCCAGAAATCGCCATTATTTTACATCCTGCTTAGACTCTAAGAGAATATGAATAGCGATACTTGCTCTCTTTTTCCAGACTTGATCCTCATCAGAAGATCCTGAAAGCCATGACCATGAAGGTGACAGCACATGTCTCCACATTGGGCAGCTTCATGGGTTTGGAGCAGATCAAGCATTTGGGGGCTACATTTTGTCTCTGAAGAATGTCAGAGAAGGGCCCTGCTGTAAGTGCTCACTGAAATGGATAAGCCAGTCCAAAGCTTTCCTATCCTGGTGTCAGGCTCCACCTTTCATGTCTTCACATTAACAGGGCTATTTATTAGCCAAGCTTGGTTGTAGGAGCCCTCTCACTTACCTGCTCCAGGACGCAGAAGGTGACTGTGATCAGGCAGCTGTTAGTGGTCCTCCTGGCATGTTACACTTCCCTGGAAAAGGGCCCGACTCTCAGGCAGAAGCAGTTTCCACTGAAACTATCCAAAACTCATTCCAAGCCCAGCTTACTCCAGAAGGAAAGAAGGGAGTTGTGTTGGGTTGGGGTATCCTAGAAAGAACCTAGAGAAAAGGACAGAAAAGGAGTTGGGAAGTGTAAAATTTCAAGGTTTTCTGCTCTAGTGCTGTGTGATTTCTGGGTAAAATTGGTAGCAGGGCCCCAGCCACAGCTGGAGGGAACTCAGGGGAGGTATTTTCAACTTCTATTCTTGGAAATCATTCCAATTCTCATAACAGGGGGCAAAAAAAGCTTCACTGTCTCCATTCTGGAGGGTTGGGACACTGCAGCACCTTCCTGAGGCTTATGCAGGGTTATTTGAGCACCTTCATTACAGAGACCCAGAGAAGGGGGTGGGTGTTCTAAGACAAGCATTGCTGCCTCCTACCTAAGATTTTTTCCTCTGATGTCAGTGCCCAGGGGAAGAAGTTCACATTCAGCCCCTGAGAATCTGGCCCCTCAGATAGTTCCAGACACTGCCTGCGAAGTTGCTCTTCGGGATTACCCAATATATCCAGCTCAGTGGCTTGCTTGCTTCCAATCATGGAGATTGGAGTGCAGATGTTACATGCACCAGCTGTGACATCACTTGCACCTGCCCCAGTCAAGCGAGGGCCTGAATTCCAGCACTGTTCACTGTTGACTGGGTGACTCTGGACAGCTGTTTAACCTCTCAGTGATTGTCATGTCCTCATTCTCATGTGAAAACCTCAGAGAAAGCTCCCCAGGATGTTTGTGTGCCAGAGAGAGGCTTTAGGGAGGGGGCTGTGTGACTGCCATAGGTTGATAGGGAGGGTCTGTTTTACAAAGTTTCCACCAAGATTGCAAATATTCATAACAAGTAATGAAATCCTCCTGTGACTAAGAGATTGCGAATTTGGCATTGTCATTCTTGATTCTTCCCCTGTGTTAGAAAAAGACAGTTGATACAATGATGAGAGAGAAAGCTGTTGCAAAAAAAAATGTGGCTAACAATGAGGGTTGCACATACTCTTCCTGGGTAGGATGATCGGAGGAAAATGATATGTGGCTGCCCTCCTATGTCCAACACCATGGAGGAGGTAGGAGGCCTGGAGGGTCTGCACTATGCCTGCCCTGAGATCCCATCAACATGGGTCATCCATGGACCCTTCTATCTGAGGGACATTGACCACACCAGTCTATCGATTGCAAATGTCCTAACTGCATGAATCCTTTTCTACCCTTGTAGTTCTCTGACACCACACTCCTCTGTGTAATGGAGGCAGTGGAAGGAAGAAACAGGAGAGGTTTTTTTCCTGTCTCCACTGCAGGTATCTTACTGAGCCAAGGAAGGAGAGATTTCCAGTCTACTAGAGTCTGGGCATTGTATATTACACAGACTGGACTTCTGCCTACCTGAGTGGGACCATGAGAGAGGGTATTTCCTAAGCCATTCATTCCTAAAATTTTTTCCCTTTTCTAGACAGAAGGAATGTGACAATATCCTCATAAGTCACACCTCCTGATGTTTTAACATTGACTTAGGAGTAGCAACACTGACTCTGGACCCTGAGGTGTGTATAAGGGGACGTCAGGCCACAGCCCACAGGGTCCTGCTGATACTGCAGACCAGAGCCAGCCAAACAGAGCACCAGCCCCAGAGTGATTCTCACACACTTCTGGGGAGCAACCCAGCCCTGGGAAGTCCCCAAGTGGGAGCTTTCTGTCACCCATTACAAAGATCCCCATCACTGCCAGGGTACCTGAGTCTCAGAGGTATTTCTTACCTTACTACTGAGGGCTGTAATTGACTGTCTGTGTGTGTTCATCTGCATCCACAGCTAGTTGTCAAGTTCATGTGTGAGCTTGCATCTTAGCCTGGCAGCTGTTCCTACCTGCAATTTCATTCTCTTGTGCCCTGTTTCCTCCCTGAGTGATTTCTCAGTCTATTTCCCTTCATAACAGTGATTATCTCTCTATATCAGACAGGGGATATTTTTCTAATGTCCCCAAAATATGTCAAGGTGGAGTGATTCATGACTAATTACACACTAAAAAATATACACAGCAACAATCTGAAAATTGAGACATTTCTCTATTTTAAATCTTTTACTTTCATGTGTAATACAATGATCACCTACACACTGAATAATCATCCAAAGTAATACAACATCTGTAACAACTTACACCTCCCTCTCTGTTCCTATTCACTCCAGTTCTGTCTACAGCCACTGAGTAACAATTTCATGAAATATGTGTTTATGATTCCTTTGTTTTATTTGTTGTTATCACTTACATATGTATGCCTAAACATATATTGTTTAATTTTCTCAAAGCTTTATTTAAGGGGTAATCTCCTGATTATTAGCATTTAATGTCACCATTATACTAAAAGATTAATTCTTCTTTTTGTAACAATGGGTCACTCCTTTCAATGTTGATCTCAGCTGATTTATCCATGCATTGTTAATGGCTAGCCTCTTTTTTTTCACAGGTATGCAGACTGGTGCTAGGTCCACATGTCTCTTGTGCAATTTTTTACTTTTCATAAGTTTTTATTTAAATTCCAATTAGATAACATACAATGTAAAGTAGTTTCAGGTATTTTATTTACAATGTAGTGATTCAACACTTACATCCAACATTCAGTTATCATAAGAAGTACACTCCTGGGGCACCTGGGTGGCTCAGTCAGTTAAGCATCCGACTTTAGCTCAGGTTATGATCTCGTGGTCCATGAGTTCAAGACTCACATCGGGCTCTGTGCTGACAGCTCAGAGCCTGGAGCTTGCTTCAGATTCTGTGTCTCCCTCTCTCTCTAACCCTCTCCCATTCATGCTCTGTCTTTCTCTGTCTCTCAAAAATAAATAAACCTAAAAAAAAAAAGAAGGAGTTCACTTCTCAGTCCTCATCCACCCAATGCATCTGCCCTTTGGTAACTATCAGTTTGTTCTCCCAGTGTTTATAGCAGCGTTATCTACAATAGGATATTATAGAAAGTGCCACTATAAATACTGGTATGCATGTATACCTTTGAATCATTATTTTTGTATTTTTTGTGAAACACCTAGCAGTGCAATCCTAGGATTGCACTAGTTCTATTTTTAACTTTTTGAGAAATCTCCATACTGTTCTCCAGAGTGGCTGCACCATTTTGCATTCCCATCAACAGTGTAAGAGGGTTCCCCTTTCTAACATCTTTGCCAATTCTTGTTTCTTCTGTTGTTGACTTTAGCCATTCTGACTGGTGTGAGGTGGTATCTCATCATGATTTTGATTTCTATTTCTCCATCTATCCTTTCACTTTCAATCAGTAAATGTCTTTAAGTCTAAAATGAGTCTCTTGTAGGCAGTATATGCACTTTTTAAAAAATCCATCCTGATACCCTATGTCTTTTGATTAGACCATTTAGTCCATTTATACTCAAAGTAATTATTGATATGCATATGTATTTAGTGTCATTTTATAACTTATTTTGTCATTGTTTCTGGAGATTTTCTCTGCTCATTTCCTGTATTTGTCACTTTTGATATCTCCCTTTTACTTAAAATTCTTTGGTCTGGCACATGTTGTGGGCAGGGGTATGTGCTGGACTTCATGGAGAGGGGGCTCCTGCACTGGGACAGAGGCTAGAGGACTGAGAAGACCAGTCCTACCAGAGGGCAAGGGAGTGGTTCTTGGTGTAAACAAGTTAGGCTGCCAATATTGGCTTTGAGCTGCTTCCAGCAGTTGGCGCTGTGTTTAAGCTGAGGTGTGGGAGAAGGAAATGGCATAAGGCAGCTGGAATGTTCCAGGGGAAGACTCTGTCCTAATGTCCTCTTAGGGACATGCTTCAAGAAGAGCAAATAATACCCTCCCTGAGTGCCACAGGCATCTTTCAGATACTTGTTTTCCAAGCTGTCTGCCCTGAGTTCTTTGCCTGCCTTTTATCTAAAAGCAGGACGACCAAACTTACTGACCTTTAAAACTCCTGATGTTGAGCCTAGCTGTTTGCAGGAACTCAGGGTATTTAGCCTCTCTTGTTTTCCAAGTCAATGGCTTTGAGAAAAATGTTCTCCTAGTGCATTATTCTATGTGCCTCTCTCTCTGTGTCTCTCCCTTTTCCACATCCCCCAGGATCCCATAAACTATGTATGACTCCACCTTCTACAATGTGGCCTCTTCTGTCCCTTTAGCTCTGGAGCTTGTTCTGTCTGTCTTCAGGTTGATTTCTGTGGTATTTAGGATGACATGTTAGTTGTGTTCAAGGGACAAGAGTTGTGTTCAAGGGTTCAAGGCAGCCTAGTGTCTGCCTACTCCACTGCATTCTTCCTCTCCCCAAGCCAATATCCTTAATGAGGATAGATGCAAATGTTTCAACAAAATGCTAGCAAACAAAATTCAACAGCATTTCCAAAGGATCCTATATCAGGTCAGGTGGTATTTATCCCTAAGATACAAGCATAATTTCACATTAGCAAATTAATTTACAGAATACACCACATAAACAGGATAAAGGATAAAAATCATACGGTCAACTCAGCAAAAAAAAAAAAAAAGCATTTGACAAAAATAAATATGTTTCCATAAATAAAATGCTCAGCAAATAGTGTATAGAGGAAGGAAACTCAACATAATAAAAGCCATATAAGACAGGGCTATAGCTAACATACTCAACAGTGAAAAGCAGAAATCTTCCTCTAAGATCAGGAACAAGACAAGGTATCTTGTCACACCAATTCTATGCAAAATAGTACTGGAATTTCTAGCCAAAGCAGTAAGGCAAGAAAAGATATAAAAGCCATCTACACCACGAAGGAAGAAGTACACTGAACAATTCCACCAAAAGTTGTTAGAAGTAATGAAAAAATTTAGTAAAGTTTCAAGACACAAAATGAATATACACTAAAAATGATAGAGCTGAAAGACAAATTAAGAAAATAATCTCAATTATAAAAGCATCAAAAAAATACCAACCATAGGTGAATGGATACAGATGGTGATATATATATATATATTATATAATATTAATATAATACAAATATATATTAATATATTAATATTAGTTAATATAATAGTTAATATAATATTTATATTATTAATATTATAATATTAATACTAGTA